ATGTATTTAATCTTGTGATTTATTTATTTGTTTTTTTCCACGCCAGGGAGAGATGAGTTTCGAGCAGGACTGCCTAGTGGAAGGAGGTTGTCTGGTTCAGATGAATAACGGGACAGAGTACAGAGAGGTCCGTCAGTTCAAGACTGATCACCACCTGGTCCGCTTCTACTTCGTGACCCGCGTCTTCTCCAGGTACATGCAGAGCATCATCGAGGACTTCCGTCACGCCCTGAAACCAGACGTGGTCGTCATAAATTCCTGTGTTTGGGATATTTCAAGGTGGGTAAGTTCTACTTTACCCTGCTTTAAGGCCAATTAAAGGCTAATTTATGCTTCTGAAGCATAGCTTCTGCAACCGTCAAATCTGTCTCTGTGCACGACCACGCCCCCTGCGCAGAGGGTCTGCAACCATCGTCGTGCACCTCAAAAAAATCCTGACTATGCGTCGGACGGTCGCACACACGTGCAGACCTCAAGCGGAAGTGCGCAGACAAAAAGCAGCTGTGATTGGTCCTTGGTATGCCTTTCCAACTGTCTGTGTGATCGTCTTTCTCGATTCGGTGCCGGGGGGCGCCATTTAAAATAAAACACGAAGTAATAGCAACAATGGATAACCATGACAAAAGGTTGATCGAGAGGTTCGGAGGTGCAACCACTTGTATGATGCCTCAGACATGTTTTGGAAAATAAAGACCCCCGCCGTGGCCCCCGAAGAAGTTCTCGTGACCATCTGCCCAAGTTCTCACGGGTTCTTGAACAGGCTCCCCTTGTGCTCTAGAAATTCCAGACCAACGTTGCAGAATCATACCAAAAAAACTGGTTCGCAACCAGAAGCAAGCGCCATTTAATGTGTGCAGTTGCAGAAGTATAATCTGCCCTAAATCCTGACTACGCGTCAGACGGTCGCAAAGCCGTGTAGACCTCAAGCCGAAGTGCGCAGACAAAAATCGGCTCTGATTGGTCCTTGGTATGCCTTTCCGGCTGTCTGTGTGGTTGTCCATCTCAATTCAGTGCTGGGACGCGTCATTTTAAAAAAAAACGCAGAACGACTGAGATGGACAACTAAGACGAAAGGTTAATCGGACTTTTTGCCAACTCTATTGACAGAACCTGTTCCTCTTCGATGTCTAGCAACTCTAGATTCATTGTTCGCGCCATTGTTCTTTTTGGAGATGAACACTCCCGCTGGCATGGCCAAAGTTTGGGGGTCTGGAAGAAATTCCAGACCGACTGTGCAGACGCATACCAGCAAAACTGGTTTGCGACCAGACCCAAGTAACATTTGATGTGTGCAGTTGCAGAAGTCTGATCAGCCCTTTATAATCTGATTGCTCCTGTCTATCACCACAGCCTCTTTAATATAAAGGACCAGTGCAGTCACTGAAAAGAAACAAAGGGAATTTCAAATTTAATGTTTAAATCAACATTAAACATTTTAAAATTAGTTATTGAAGAGGAATTATAATTGTATTTATGAATAAATCATTAAGTCATGCAATTTGCAAATATATTTCCAAATTCTATTTTAAATGGAAAGTAAAAACGGAAAACACAATGTATAAATCTGAATAAATATTTTTCCTAATTGCAGATTTTGAGAAAAGCAAATCCTTATAGTATTTCCACTTTCTTTTTCATCTTGCAGTTTCAAATTCTCTGTGCAGTTTCATTTTCTTTTTGCTTTGCTCCATTTACCTTTTCAGGTCCCTTTCTGATTCCGAGCACACCCAGAACGAGTTTAACCAATTACAGTTTCCCCTCAGCTTTAACATGCTCCCACATTGGTTAAACTGCAATACTTGGTCTACAAAATGATCAATAAGGGAGCTGGTTACAGCTGAGGAGCAACTGTGATTGGTTTAGCAGGTTCTAGTGGAGTCAGATGTTAAAGGGTCATGAAAAGGTAACTGGTAATGTAAAGGTATAGTGGAGGATTTTCATTAAATTTTTTTAAAAGAACCGCCCTCTCCACTTTTAAAACAAAAAATGCATACGCACAAGCCTGTATCTGCTCCCGAAAGGGAACTCCTATTAAATGCATGCGAGAGCGTGCACAATCCCATTTCTCCTCGTGCACGCTCTGTTTAAATTTTGCTGTTTGACTCGCTCATACAAGCTTACTTTTTAAAAAGATTGGCAATTTTTACACTATTTCAGACTCGCCACCGGTAAGTGATAATGGGGACGAGCACATAGGATGGTCTTACGTAAACATCACACGAATTATGAACAATTGGGAGGACCACTTATTTTGATAATCCACGAGGAAAAGAACATCATCCACTATACCTTTTAATCTCCCCAGTCAAACTGACTGCATATAGAGAGGCTCTGACTTGGCAGGATGGGCAGATCTGCACAGATGTTTTTTTATTCACTTTTCATAATCTGTCCAAGTCTAATGTGGGAAATTGTTTTAAATTTGCATTTAGTACAAAGAACAAAATAAAGTTATTCAAATAAAAAAACACGAGTACATTCTATAAAGCAAAGCCCCACTTAGTGAGTCTGTGCAGCATCTTAAACCAGAATATATAGAGACTTTTCATATGCTTATATTAACAACATGAGATCTACGTCTAAAGAAAAGAAAAACAAAGCAATAAAGGCCATAGGACGGTTTATATACTGACTGAGGCTGTGAAGTTTATCAAAGTTTTTCTTTTTTTCTTCATAAATTCAATTCAGTTTATTTATATGGCACCAATTCACAACACATGTCATCTCAAGGCACTTTACAGTTCACCAGATCATACAGTCAAATTGATTCAAGTTTTCTAAGGAAAACCAGTTGATTGCATCGACTCATTGACTCGGAAGCAATCCCTCACACTAAGCATGCTTGTAGCGACAGTGGAGAGGAAAAACTCCCTTTTAACAGGGAAAAAACTCCAGCAGAACCAGACTGTGTGAGCGGCCATCTGCGGTTTAAGTGACGGAAGCAGAGATACAAAAAGCAACTGTAAAAGGCGGCCCCATAGTGGAAACACAGAGCCAGGCAGACATGAGACGGATACTCCACATTTACCTGCTTTGTCTGTCTCAGTCATTTTTTATTTTTTTTTGAGTCTCAAAGAGGATTCCATTTTTACTATATCTGTTTTTGGTTTTGTTTTTTCTCCCTCGGGGAGATTGATAAACTGCGCTTTCTGTCCCTCGTTGTTTTCTCGCGGCTCAAAGAGGATCGCTTATTCATAAATTTTCTGTCCTCCTGAACTCATCGGTAAAGTATTCAATTTTTTTTTTCTTTATCCCAATTCGTTGTTTTTGCACGAGTCTGTCCCACATAATATATATGTGATGTGCAACTCTAAAAAGTGACTAATTCCCTGTGCGATTAACAGATTTTATTTTGTATTTTCCCCCAAAGCGGATGTGTTTTACTTTGTAACCACGTCTCTCTTCCTGTCAGATCCTTGAAATTGCTGCATAGTCTGAGTAAAATAGACCTCGGTCTATCTCAGTCGGATCATCCCCATAGACTTTCATTGAGCGCTAAACACAGCAACCTTGTGTGACACGATTTTGTCATATCGGACGAAAAATTGGATTCGGTGCGCTGGGGCTTTAATGTTAGATTAGAAGCAACATAAATTTTTCAATTTTTTTTTATTCTAGTTCCCATCATGTAATTGATTAGGCTACTGTTATGGTTTACGTTATCTTTGTTGGGATTTTTAGATACAACTCTAAATGGACCCATGATTACAAGGAGAACCTTCAGAGGTTGTTTGATGAGCTGAGGAGTGTCCTGCCAGAGGAAACGCTGGTTATTTGGAACCTCACCATGCCTTTAGGAGAGAAGATCAAAGGTGGCTTTCTGGTGCCTGAGGTAAATTGTAAATACACTTTGCTGTCTTCCTGTTAGTGGGAAAGGACACTAAACTGTAAAACCCTGCAGGTTTACAACTAATGAATTTATTGGAAAGGGACAGCTGAGGTACAGTGATCATACTTTGTAATAACATCACAAAGTACGCTTTATTATACCATTAAGTTCCCATCATTATATTGGGGTTAAGCATTGTTTTCCTTGTTTCTGCTGAAAAAGGCTTTATTTACCCTGACCTATGCGTCTCTGACCACAGATTGAACACAAAGCTCCACAGCTGCGCTATGATGTGATTGAAGCCAACTTCTACAGCTGGACCGTGGCCGACAACTACGACATGGACGTGTTGGACCTCCACTTTCAGTTCCGCTTCTCCTTACAGCACCGAACAAACGACGGAGTTCACTGGAATGCCATTGCCCATCGCAGGATCACAGCTCTTCTGTTACGGCACATTGCTCAGGCCTGGGGTGTGACGCTAACCGTTGGTGGTGAGGGGGGGATTGGCACACGAAAACATGCACATCTTTAGTTCAGCCTAAAACATACTAGTTTGAGTCACAGAAGTTCCTGATGTTAAAGGTGCAGTTGTGATCTTGGAAAAAACAGTTCCAGCAAGCTATATTTATGAACATACACAACCATGCCTCTCCCTTCAAACTCATGAAGGCGCATGCTGTGGGCAGCGCATCTGAGCAGCTGAAGCAGCGCTGATGATGCAGGGCGCTATTATCACTTCACTGAAACGGTTTAACGCCTAAATTAACTTAAAATGCTGAAATCTGCAGGCAAAACATGTTTGCTTTTATTATCCTGGTGCCTGCAGTTTGGGTTACGTTCATGAAAAATGCCTTGCAGCCGCCGTGGCAAACCAAAAAGAGGCGACCAGCCCATAGGCTGCTGTTGAATGGGATGCTATTGACCCCGGTGTACGGGGGTCTTAGCGGCTCCGACAGAAATAATATTAAAACTGGATGGACTGACGATGCTTTCAGGTGGACTTTTTCACTGATCACAGCAAATATGGCTGCCATTGTTACAGGCAAAGAAAGGATAGGGTATCTGCCCAACAGATCCGACCCATTTTTTTCCAACTAGCAGCAGAGATGCTTTAGCCTGGGTGCCATTCCGAACTTAGTCCCGCCCACAAAGTTAGAGGTCGGGGAAGTTCGGTCTGGCTCTGCTCCATAGTAGCGCGAGTATTAAAGCCCACTGTCAGGCGATCCAATCAAATTGTCAGGGCGGGCTTTATACGATGATGGACAGATGACAAACAGTAACGTAATCAACCACGTGACCAATGCGCGCTTGGGTGACAACAATAATGGCTGCCGCTGGAGAGTTTAGGTGAGTAGATTCTGCTATTAGGTCTGTTCTAGAAGATATCGACAGCAAATTAATTTTAAAAGAGGAACAGAGAAACGCGATCAAGGCTCATCTTCTTATTATAGGTGTGCAACTGCACGCTTTGATTTTTGTGGACAACAACTATGCCTCGCTTAACAAACGTCACGCACTCCGTTGCTCTTATTGGTTGTAGGTCTATCCAATTGAGTGCAGAGGCATTTTTTTTCCTGGTTCGTTCGAAACACGCCCCATAATCACAGCTCTATGGAGCAGCATCAGACTCATATTCTGACTAGAATTGAGTCGGACTACGTCAGGCTAGAGATGCTTCAGCCGCGCATCAGAACTAAACTTGTACAAGCATCAAAAATTAAGCAGCATGCGCATTTTTGCTGGTCTTGCTGCTGTAGGTGTGAACGTAGCATAACAGTGGCTAGCTTCCAGCCATGGTGTCCTGCACAAGCATTGGGGGGTTCATGTGTCAGGGTACCTGCACAGGGGGAGGGACAAGCAGACGACCATGATTGACGTGTCAGAAACCAATCGGGTACCACTGTTTTGTGATTGGTTGGGGTTAATCATTGATTTGTCACTGTAGCGGCGACCATTTATTTTAGTTTCACTTCCAGACCTTCTATTTCACTGCTTGCTAAGCGGCTGTGGAGAGCTTTTAAGCCACATAGTTAAAAAAATGCTTCAGAACAGATCTCCTACTGCACCTTTAAGCCAATATATTAATGCACTTTAATGCCACTAGATAAGAGTGCCAGGGTTTAGACACGGTCTTAAAGTTTGGAATTTGTCAGGAAGAACACCTTGTTTGGTACCAGCGGGCTTCTCTGCTCTGCCTTCTCTCCCCACTTATTGCGCTGATTCGTTTGTAAATCCATGTCCACCATGATGTAGGAGCCTTTCGCCTGCCATCTGAAAGGCTGGCCACATGAATTTCAAGGCGAGCAAAAGCAGATAAACCTGGCAATACTGTATTTTCAATGGTTTTGTGTTCGGTGTGAAAGTTCCTTGAGAATTTTCAGGTCTGGACAAATTATAGAAAATATTTGTATTTTTAGAGTACTGGTATTCTAGCAGTTTCTGATGCAGTAGGTTTCTGGCTTTGAGTTCCTGCTGTAAATACTGAAGGGCACAGACAGCATTTCAAGAGGAGTCTCCAACTGTTTACTATGAAAATAAACATGCAGGGTTATTAAAACTTCACACCTGATGGAATCCTAAGATCAACTTTGTCCTTTATGGCCTTTTCTTTGGAATAAAATGAAGTGAGGGGAAAAAAAACTTTATTAAAAGACTCTAGCTGAATCAATTTGTTTAATGGAACTTTGGTCTTGCCTTATCCTAAATTCTGATTTTTATCTTTGACAGCTTTGTCTGTACAAAATGGCTGCCAAACAGGAGCTGGAGGAAGTATCGCTCCTGGAAATGAGTTCTCCACTGATTCTCTGCCTTGTGGCTTCTTGAGCTTTGAAGAACCAAAGACACCAGAACGTCGCCATCAAGCTGTAGAGAACCCCAGAACTGCTGTCCAACCACAACGCAGCCAGCCACGCCGCAAACATCGGAACAAACGTAAATCACCCCAAAATGGTATGTTCAGAATATAAAACAGGATTGTGTGGATGATCAAAACACAGATGTTCCGCTTCAAGATTTAAGACAAGATGTGGCTAGAATGGCCCAGCCAATCATCAGATCTTTAGCCTATTAAGACATTGAAAGCGACTGCAGGATTTAAAGACCTTTTCTTGAATTGTATTACATCTGTTGTGATATTTTTCTGTAATTAGATTGGTTGTTGCTGACATTTTGAGTATTACTAACATGTATTTTGTGAATTTCAAAGGACCTGACGGTCTGTAGCGTAAAATCTCTTTAGTTTAGTGAAGATTTGAATACTGAGCTGACATTCAGTCTCGATATCCTACAGGTTGGAACTACATGCCTCCCCTGTACTTTGAGCCCTACGAAGATCATCCCAACCGCCTCCACCATCAGTTTGTGATGAGGAACCGATACAGCAGACCCCACTACGCCCCCTACACCCATTTCAGACCACTTCACTATCCAGTTCATAGATATTATTATTGAAATGGAGGCAATCTTAGAAGCATTTCAACTCGTTGTATTCATTGCTCTCCTTCCACAAGAGGCTTTTTTTATTGAGATTGTGGGCTTTTAGTTTGTTAAATTGGGTTTTAATTCGTTTCTTTCAAAACTTTTTTTTTTTTTGAGCAATTTACTATTAAATTGAATTTCAAGTCTGTGCTGTTTTTAACAAAATAAACTTGTCAAAACATTATGTATTATCATTTAAAATACTGCTGGTAATTTTTAAACAAAATGAAAGCTAAAGGAGTCTTATGTCTGGAGATTTCTAGGTCAGTTTTTTAATTTTCTCCATCCCCTTTCATACCTTGGTGCTTTGATTAGGACATCCGTAGCTCATCCCTGAAACCTGTACATGAGCCACAGTGGAAGTACATCAGCAGTTAGAGGAGTTCAGTTAGCTTTGATGAGTTCCTAGTCATGCTGGGAGCTATATGCTTGCCCACAATCTTTTTGCATGACATGATATAGACATAACCCACCTTGGAGTTGAACAAATATTTTGTCATATGTACTGTGATGCATAAATGTGTTAAATCGTTATGTTTTGGACTTTATAAAAGAACTTCCACTGTTTATTTACAGTGGTGTGACTAATACCAGAAGGTTGTAGTCTTAATTTAAGCATCGTCCATGTGTGTCCCCATCATGCAATGTCTGGATTCAGATCAGCAGCCTGTAGTTCTTTTCATACCCTGAATAGTGTTTTTACTCTTTAAGTTGTGGAAGGGATAGAAGCTAGGAACTATTTCAGACCACACCTAAAGAAATGTCATTTTGTTAAATTCCTTAAAGTGGGTAGTGCCTCTATGTCCTGTCACGCAAAGGATTGTGGGAATCCATGTAGCTCTTAAGTGCCGGACAGGGACATTGGGAGGTCCTTATCCTAAGTTAACTATCTGTAGCAAACGTCCCTCTTCCTAACCTATCTCCCTCCTTACTGGTAAAATTTATAGGGACTGCTGATGTACCTCCACTTGGCATAAAGGAGCAATAAGTCAGAAATGTTACATAAAATTGACAAATTATTCACATTTATCACCTGGGATGAAAATAACATTTGTTAACCTAAAACTGGTCCCTTACAACATTGTCAAAGTTTCTCTCCTTTCAAACAGGAAAGCTTTGAAACTATTTCAGTGGTTGCAATGGTTGAAGGTTGCCAATAGAGCAGTGTTCTGTATTTTGTTTGCAAAAGAGCAGCAGCCTACGAACATATTTAGAAGGAGCAGTGGACCAGAAATATTCTCAATAACAAAGCTTCGGTATGAAAAGTATTTGCACAATTTGCTGTGGCTGTCATCTTCACTGCTCTGCATTTAGCTGAGCTACCTCCTCTATTGATTCATAAACCTTAATGACACCCCAAAGGGGAGAAGCGTGGGAAATTTGATTTAAAATTCTGTTATTGCTTGATGTGTTCTTACATATTTGCATAGTTCAAATTGAGCCCTTGTCTTTAAACCACTTTCTGGTGCATTTGTGTCATTTTGGAGGAATATAATCAAAGCTTTTAATGTCCCTGCAGCTAAACTAGACATTAGGCTGCACAGGGATCCCTTTCACAAAGCAGCTTTATGGATAACTCCTTAGTTTTCTAAACGTAAAAACAGGGAAACTCATTTGACTTTTATGTTTCACAAAGTTTCCTCAAACTCGTTTCAGTCCCCGTAGTAAAACTTTCCTCAGAGCTAACCTGGTCAGCAGCAGGTTTTCTTCAGTAAACTGTGTCTCCTGTCTCTGATCTCCTTACAGCCTTACAATCCCGCTGTTTTATGTCCTGATTTAGTGTCATTTTTGTTTTATGCATAAGTATCATTCATGAGGTCCGTTGCAAACATTAGGTTTTAAAAGCAAACTTTGCCTGTCCGTTTGACGTTAAAGAATGATCTGCAGTTTTTCACAAAGAATTAAATATTTATAGGGAGAGGATTCTAAAACTTGGTTGACGGGGCATGGCACAATCTGAAGCCTTTCTATGGGACTGATGGCCATTTATTACAGCCATGTATCGGGAAGATGACATCTGAAGCGTTGCTGCAAACAACCACTTAATTTTTACTGTGTATAAACAAGACTGAATCAACATGAGGGATGCGTGAGATGATGCACAGGTTCTATGTATTAAATGTTTCTAGACCTCATTTTCACCTGCTGCCAGATTATTTTACCAAAATAGATACAATGATCTATTACCATTCAAGAGATAATCCTGTATTATCTTAGTCACAACACGCTATTGCAAACAGTTTGGATATTTACCAGTTTTACTGAATGTATTCAGTAAAATTTCAAACACTGACATTCTGAATGTCTATAAATTCATTTCTAATGTTATTGGTCAGCATTTGTTTTATTTTAACTATGAAATATTTTCAGATATAAAAACATTTTCAGTCAAGGTAATGTCAGAACAGCCAATCAAAATGTATAAACATGTCTAGATCAGTGTTTCAATCCTGGTCCTCAAGGCACCCTGCCCTGCATATTATAGATGTTTCCCAGCTTTCACACACCTGTTATCAATTGATAGATTATCAGGCTTTGCTGAACTGCAATCATCTGAATCAGGTGTGCTTAAGCTCAGAAACATGCAGAGCAGGGTGCCCTGAGGACCAAGATTGAAAAACATTGGTCTAGATAAAACTTCTTACTAGTATTTTTTCTTTTACTTTGTAAAATTCAGTTTCTGGTACAAAAATGTAATTTACAAAATATATTATTTGGGTTTATGAGTGTGATTTTGATCAAGAAAAATCTTATTTTAGTGATCTACAAATGGAACAGAGGAGTGTTTTTAATTATTGTAAAAACCGCCTGCCATAGCCCACTTCATATAAACTTACGCATAAAGTCGAGCAAGAATCTTCACCTTCGCCATCTTTCCCTCCTTTGTAGCATCAAA